CCTGGAGAATCTACGTATACGCGACTTTAGTATGAAGGAATGCATACAAGCAACTGGCCACACCAACACAAATCCAATAGACCATCTAAAGGCCTTTAGAACACCTCAAAAGCACCCTAATGTAGGCAAAGATTATATACCAATGGATTCCTGTGGAAAACACCATCCAATGTCATTCTCATGGGTTCTCGTTCACTCCGCGCTTACGCCGAAGAGACCTAGGCGGGTGCTCCGCGAGGTCTGCGCGACCGATTCGTTCAGGTCTGCGTCTTGGTGTGGCAAGGCGTGGCATCTTCGAGGTTGGCCAAGGATCACAGATGAAAAGAACCAAGTAACGCGATGGTCGATGGTCCAACCTGTTACTAGCAATGGCCTCCAACCTACTAGGGCACCAAAGATGGAGGTCACACCACGGACAACTTTGACCAGAGGACGATGCATTGGTCTTTGCACCGATATTTGCACCGATGACTCCAGGATGACATCCATCTTATGACTGACGTGGATTAGCTTTGGGCTTGGTGGATCCTGCTGGGAACGGATCTGGATCTGGATCAAGAAATGCAAGCAGAGTGCCTGTTCTGGGTCCAGTGGTCAAGAAAAGCAAACTTCTGGCGCCACAAGTCCTGCTTGGTAGGAAGCCACCCGAAAGAAGGATACATCCAAGCAAACAGTCAAAAAAAATCAAAATTACACCAAGGTGCCAAGGGGGATATAATGTAGATGGGGATACAAGTTGAGGTGAGCTTTGCACCATGTTGCACCCGAAAGGTGCTTTGCTGGAACCACCCCCTTTGTGTTGCTTCCCCGGCTGGAAGTTGCGAGGGAACACCTGGCCATCTGCTGTTGGCGCGCCATCGGCGATCACGCAGGCCGACCATCAAATGCCCACCTCAAAGTAGACGTTCACCTGTCTGATCTCTTCTTGTACCTAGGCAAGACGCAAACAGCCAGACGGCTCGGCTCAGAAAATGATGCTTTTTAGGGCGCCGTGAGAGTCGCTATTGGTGGGGAACGAAGTCACATTTTAAGGAGCTACAGTAAGGCTTAAGGTCTGCTCCCTACAAGTCAACGACCTCATTTTACTGGGTGTGGTCATTGCTGAAGGAAGTAAAAGACCAGGTTGTACTGGGTCTTTGGACTTGGAGGGTGCTATTGGAAGTCGGAAAATCAATGCTTTAAGCTCCAAATCTTTCACCCCACTCACACCTTTTCACACCCTCCTCATCGTTCAAACCGAGTCAGGCTCTTCCGGGACGAGTTGCTGTGAGAACCAATCCGGATCGGACGGATGGCCTGCTACATATGCGGCCCTCGACTGGAGGTACCCCAAACATTCCCGAAGCAACCGAACCGGAGAAATTCGACTGCAGTGAACTGCCTCCAAACCGTAAGGCACGACACTACCTTCGTACCATGTCGTACCTTCGTTTCGGTTTGGCGGGACGGTTTCGGTTTGGCTTTGAAGTTTGGAGGGTCCAGTCCTAACCGCGAAACGGAGGTCACCTCCAGGTTCGCCCAGTTCGCCCGGGCGAAAACAGGGACCTCCAAAAACCGGTCATGAACCAGTTCACCGAAGCTCACCGGTGCGAAGCGAAGCTCACCGGACCCAGAGGGGGGCACTGAAATGCCTCGCCGTCGACCAATTCTCCATGAAAGAAAAGGTCTTGATGAAGTCAAGTCGACCATGTTAAAAATGTGATGTCTTCGTGTTCGAAGTCAACTGGAAGTCCAAGACGTCCCTGGAAGTCCAAGACCGTCCAAAAAAAGAAAGGTTGATCTGGTTTTGTAGTGTAAAACCCTTAGTGAGACCCATGCATGGTTGTTCGGGATGACCGGGCTATTAAAACAATGGTGGTTCAACTTCGAGGGTCTTTCTGTTCAGGTCCAAGAGCCTATACCTACCATGTACCTGGGGCTAGAAATCCCCCTGCAACGGACATTCCGCTGAGAAAGGTACAAATGACGTGATGACGGGCGACCTGCGCTGCTCACGCTCTCACTCGTGCTTTTGCTCAGCTTCTGACGCTCAGGTTGGCTCTCCATACGTCACAGCGGAGGCCGACCATGTCCTCAAGGCTCTCAGGGTCCGTCAAGTCAAGTGGTTGGAGGGGAGAGCCCCAAAAACCCAAACAAATCGCCGGAAATTCAATTGGCCGAAACGGATCCTTGGGGCATATTTGGGGCATGAGTTGGGTTCTTATCCGTTCTTGTTCGGGATATTTGGAAAATTGTATGTGTCTCCTCTGCTGAATCTGACGGATGAGTACAGCTACGATGGTCCTTGCGCCCGGTCCTTGCGCACCCCAAGACGTCGAGAACCGCCGGTTGCGACCGTTCCACTGGCGGAGTTCGGGTGTGAGGGCGTCGAGTGGAGTTCGGAAGCGAGCTCCCGGTCCTTGTTCTGTGCGTATCCTCGGGAGCGCAAGACGCCCTCCACGAACTCATTGCCTGCCGCCGGACGGTGGGTGAGGTGTCTCACACGGGTGAGACCGCACGGTGAGGATTGGGAGGGGAAGGGGGAGGGAGTTTCTTCTCCAAAGATGTGCCTGAAAGAGTGTGGGTTGTTGTCCAGCATTGGTGTTTTTATCTGATCCAAGAAATATACAGTATTTACTCTGGAAAGCCCGGTCCAAAAGGGCGACACACACAGCTCAAAGGGGTGCTCTTCAAGCATATTGTAGTTTTCAGCCGTTTTCAGGCTTTACTTAAGAATGGACAGAAGAGTCTTCAAACCAACATGCCACTCTTCTGTCCATTTGTATGATGAACTAAATGACCCACCCACAGATGTGTGACTCTTTGGTGTCTGCTGTCTGTCTTCATCTTCCCTACGAGCCACATATGATTATAGGAACCACCCAATTGATACCAAAAGACCCTCAAATTCCAACAACAGGGGGCTTCAGGGGTGCTTTCTGCGCAAGACGGTCGGGCTTTCTTACCAGTTCCCTCCACTGATCTGCCACTAGTTTCCCTTCCCTGTAGTTCTTGCATGTTCTTGCTCTCCACCAAAACAAAGACTTCGCCCTTCCTCTTGGGAAGATGAGGACGACAAAGCTCTGCTGTCTCTCTACATCATTCTAGTCAGGCACCCAAGACTTGTTGTTCAGGATTCAGACCACGAAGTCACACAACCAGTCAGCCAAGAATTCGAAAAACGGAGCTGTTCACCGCTCATGGTGGACAGAACAGCTTCATGGAGGCCTTATCCACCGGAGTCCTCATTTCTAACAGCTCAGGGAGGACCTGAACCAGATGCTTCGGAGCTGAGCTCAGCTCAGCTCACTGAGCTCCACCAAGCCAGACAGGTCCAAGCGCCGTTGATGGCCGTTGGAGGGATCATATGAGCTCCATCGAGTCTTTGGACCAACTAATACTATTTGGGCCAACCCCAAAAACCGCAAAAACCATGGATGATGGTTCAGTTGCAGGCCTGGCTCTCAAGAATAGTAATGATACTTTACTGACTGTTACAGGTAATAGGACAGACTCAAAATTCTATGGTGTTAGCTATACCTGATGTCGATATTATTTTGGAAGACAACACCAGGTCAGCGGAAACAGACCTGCATGGTCGAAGCTCTTTTCTTCGGCGATGTCTGAGGATCCACACCAGTCCGCGCCGGCGCCATATCACTGATGTCTGAGGATCCACACCATCCAAGGTGCCACTACCATCGATGTCCAAGATGTCAAAGAGTGATGAGGCACTGCCCCTGCAGCGTGTCGGCTAAGCGAGCGAGCGAACTCGGCGTCCCGGTTCTTCGCGTGTCGGTCGGCGTCCCGGTCGAAACGATGGTGCGTCGGAGCATGGCGGTGATCTTTCTTCACGGGGGAATCGAAGTCAGGGTCTGTCCAGTTTCAAACTCACAAGGTCATAAGGTCAGGAAACGGCAACAACTAGTATAAGACACACGGCAATTGGTCTTTTCCTAATCGGAAGAACAAAAGTAAAAACATTCAAGTATATGTAACTATAACAGTATATGCATGTAACAGTACAGACGTGCAGTATATGTTTCTCGTTACGGAATTTTGGTCCTAGTCCAGATGTGTTCATCTCTGGGGGTCCAGATGTGCCGTTGTTCTAATTCTCATCGCCCCACGCTCTCCCACGCTCTCCCACGCTCTGCTTCTGGGGGTCGTTGCCGGGACTCCGTCGGACCTCCGCTCCCCCCCCAAAAAACCGGGGCGCTCATCGATGCCAGCGCCGTGCAAGCGGGCCAAGAGGTTCTTCTCTTTGATGGCCTCGATGGGCGCGGTTCGTGTCCCAGGGCGACGTCGTTTCTTCGTGCGAAAGCGAAAAACCAAGCCCGTCTCGGGCGAGATCGGGGCAATCGTCGCGCCAGGCATGGATATCAATGGATGGTTGCTTGGAAGCGTAGCCACTCCCGAATACGGAGCTGTGTCAAAATGGGCGAAAATGAACAGAAATGAACTGCATAGACTACCGGACAGGTCAACCTGCCTTAGTTTGGGGCTTTGGGTCTTACCAAAGGCACAGGGGAGATCATGCTTGACCGAAACAGCTTGCGAAGGGGGACGTCGAAGATCGACTGAAAACTAGCCTGCTAGCCTCCATAGAAAATGGATGAAAATGGTTGGTCACTTTTTAGGTCTGCAAATTGTTAGTTACAGTAGATTTACTTAGGGACTCCAAAGTTCGGCCACGAACCTGAAGAAGCTGGTACCAAGTAAGGCTAGGGCTCAAACCCCGACCTGAGACGACGACTAGACCCTCCTAGACCATCTAGACCCTCCCGGAAGGCCTTGTTGAACTCTTCCTTGGAGAGTGTTCCATTTCCATCATTATCCGCATCTTTGAAGACCTCCAGGTCACGGCGTGAGAGGTGAGGGCAGATGGTCGAAGTCAGTCGATGGTCAGAGGTGACCAGGTGATGAAACAAGGGCAAGACATGCCATCCACCTCCAGGCCCTGTGCTAGGGACGTGCCATTCGTACAAGGCCATATGTAATGTAAAGCCTAGTTATTCTTGGCTGCAATCCGCAAACATCCCAGAAAGCGTTGGAACGGGGAGTGACCATAATGTCGAACGTCCGACGCGTTTCAGCGGCTGCGTGGCGGCACGAAAGGGTCGGAAGACCGTGCCTGATACAAGGACTTGCAAGTAGCTTCATATTCCTCCTGAGAAAGGAAGATGCAGGACTGAAGGATCACAAAACAACCGAAAAAGGATAAAGGTTTGGCCAGCGAGGGGTGGCAGCCTAGCTTGTTCGCTCATAGCTTGAGCTGTAAAACGTCCAAGTGTTCAAGAATTCTGTGCCCACGATTGTTATCTGGAACAGTTCAAGTGGCTGGCCCCTTCCACAAATCCACTACCAAAATCTGCACTACCACTGAGCCTACCACCGCTATCTAACAACTACTATAATCCCTGACACTAACCTACCACCGCCAATGACCCCAAACCTAGAAGCTCCTACTACCAGTGAACCACAACACTTATACCCCAAACCCGCTGCTGGGGACCCACTGTACCACTGACCCACTACCACTGACCCACTACAACTCACACGCTACCACTTACCACAAACACACAAGTAAACACTGCAGTACAACAAAAAATATCTGGGCAAATGGAGCTGGGATGGGCTGGGAAGTCAAAACATCTGGGCTTACAACCGATGAATTGACATGGGATGGTTGGATGGCCAGTCAGTATGGCGAGTCTTCCTGGTGGCCTTCGGAGCTCGGATTCAAGGCAGCAAGGTGACAGGCTTCGATTTATGGCCCCCTGTCCTGGCCTCTTGCAGAGCGGCTCAACAGGCTCTGCCCTCACTTCCCACTTCTCTGTCCACACCCAACCAGAGCAGCAAGCAGACCACTTGCGTGTGGCCAGCACTGGAGGCCACCCAGGGCGGTGTGCACCGGTGATATGGTGCACAACTAGAGCACCATCGCAGTACGTGGCCCTGACTACATGGATACCACAGAGATGATGCATTCCCAAACCTGATGAGACGATTTGACTGGCAATCCTTGTTGGCTCCAGCCTGCAAGAGTTCACAGCCTCCAGCTCGCATTCTGCAGCATTGAAGCGGAGCTGCTTCCGCTCTTTCGAGTTCCTGAAGCCGTGGCGAAAGGCATTGCAATGAGAGGCAATATGGATGTTGTGCGTTTGCTGCTGGGATGCTTCTGGCTGACAACCGCCCGACACTCCGACAGCAAACGCACGTTTCCAGCTGCAGACCACTGGATAAATCCAGGTGTGACAAGCTAGACTCATCCTGAAGCACCATCGCATTGTGTCAGTGCCAGAGAGGATGCAAACGCTGCTTCAGAGTCTTTACATCATTCAACTCAGCTGCCACTTCTTCACCAAACAGCTTGTTAGCGCGGACGTCATCCACAAAGTGTTTGCGCTCCACCTTCGGTGTTGGAGAAGCTCATGCTCCTCCTGCGCCTCATGCGCTCGCGCCGTGCATATTCACCCGGGGCGAAGCGATCCAAGAAACTCCCGGAGTGCAGGACACCTCTGGGCGCAGGACAAGTGTCACCTGATTGAGCCTCTAGGGCTCCAGGAGGTTCCCGTATGACTGGACCCTTCTGGCACCCTAAACCCTAAACACCTTCTAAGAAGATACTTGATTGATCTAACTTGGGAGTCAGTAAATAAGGTGACTGATGGAAGATCTGACATTGGCCCAGTTTCATGAACCTCCATCAGTCACAGCTCTTTGACACATGTAGCCTGGAGAGGGGATTGTTCTTGGTCCATTTTCCTAGAGTACTCGCTGTGACTTTTTTGGCCAAACATGCTCCTCCCTGACATGTGAACGTGCTTGATTTGACCTACCCTAGGCCCTAGGGCTCCAGTCGCACCTTCCTTTCGAAGGTGGGACTGGGGGTGCCAGGAGGGTCAAGTTGTACATTCGGAGGCACGACAGGAGCCCTATAGGGCCATATCATGCTAAGCTGCTATATTGATGAACATCACCTGAAGTCCACTACCTCTCCCTTGCAACGGGCGAAAACAAATCATTCCACCTGGTCCCTGCTGCCAGAAAGTCACAGCTTCATGTCTCTTGCGTGTCACATGAGCAGACCCTGCGTCCAGGGCCTTTGAGGGATTTGGAAGGCATCGTGTATCATCTTTTTTTTGGGAGGGGGCGGTGGAAGATGTGCCAACCAAAAATATGCACTAGCAGTTCCATGTTCGAGGTGCTATCGATGGAGGAAGTGGAAGTCGGGGTGCCCATTCCACATCCACATCATTCCACGCATCCACAGCTAAGAGTTCATGGGACCAGCCGGTTTGTTCGCCTCGACTCCATCGGCGCAGCCGGCCATCGGTCGGGACTCGCAGCCCTCGGCGTCCTTCGCCTTCTTGGCGATGTCGCGCGAACGGACCGAGGACGCCTCGGGCCGAGGACCAGGTGCGGAGGCGACGGAGGGGGAGGGCGAGGGAGGCGGCGAGGCAGAAGTGGAGGGGTTTGGGAATGGTAAACTGCATCATCCTGGACATCGGTGTCCTGGCTAGACCCCACCATACTTACAGGTCTACTTACAGGGCACCCGTTGGATGTGCTAGGTGGTGGATGGTGTTTGATTGTGTTCTCACTGAGCTTTTGCACACAACCTGGTTGAACTTGGCTTAAAATGGTTCAGAAGGCTGTGGCACCTGTGGGATGTCAAGGACGCAAGGCAAGCAATTCTGGTCTCACTTCCAGATACTTCATGATACTTCCAGTATCAGCGTGAGATAATGTAGACAATGCGTGGCAGTAGTGACGGTGTTGACAACAAGACTTGCAGGAAGGATCAGAAAGGGATTGATTCATGGGCATGCCCTGGGCTTCCAACCACCATTTTGAAACACCATTGGTAGACTATAAGGAGTTGACACTACAGCACCAGCTCCACCAGCTCAGGTTTACATGGTCGAACGGACGGGCATGGCTTTGAAGCTTCAATTCTATCCAATTCTCGCAAGAAGGTTGAAAGGCTATCCACTGAGTGGGTAGGCTTAAGGATGTGGTCATCATGTGTATATACCTACCATAGTCTGTCGTTTAATCTTTACTTGGCTTGTTTTTCTGCATTCTCTCAGGACGATGTGATCGTCATGAGACAATGGCAAGTGCACGATATGGTTTTTGGATGTTTTTGGTTGATTTCTTCATCTCACCCAGACGCTCCGTTCACAGCCCGACTGGTCCCTCAAAACCATAGGGATTGGTTCGGGTCCGACCCCTGCATAGGATTCGGGTCCAGGAGCGTCTGGGCAGCTTATATATATTTTTCTTTTCTTTTGAGCGGCCAATCGCAGTTCTCTTCGACGGGCAGCCCGTTCCGGTGCCAGGCGAACAGGGGCGCCCGAACACCTGTGACCACGAAGTAGTGGTTGGCACAAACCAGTGCTCACCCGACGTTCAAACTAACTTATATGTTTTGTTTTAAGGGGATCCCACTACAGCTGGTGGTAACATGTGGTAACCAGTAGTTTCAGTTCGGATAGAAGCACAGATCTTAGAAGTCCTGGTTCCATATATAGTGTGGTAACTGGGGATCTTAAAGTGTATCTCTGGCCATGGATGAGTTTGGGGGTAGCCCAGTGGCCACCCAGGACGCTTGCGGCCCTTTTCTGGCCAAAAGCCAATCGGTTCATATTCATACCTGGACCTTCCAAGGGGTGCCCCATGGAGATCCACAAGTAGAGTAGGGGGCTTTCATTGGTGACCCCTTGGAAGGTGCCGGTATGATTTCTCTAACTGCAAGGCACGCTAAAGCCTCAGCCCTAGGGTAATTCAGCCCCATGGGAGAACCAGCAGTCGAGAAACAGCCCCTCCCTATAGGCCCTAGAACCCTACTGAGCGCGCGCACATCCATCGCGCTGTTCACGAAGATGGCCACTGTGACGTTCATCACACCTGCAGAACACCACACCGCTGGTGGAGAGAGTCGTCGCAGGGGACTAGTACCGACCGAGCGACCGACCTGCGACCGACCGTAGCAGGGCAACGACCCAATGATTGCCAGAATTCATCGGATATCGAACCTGCCCAAATGCTCCTGGACCCGAATCCCATGCGGGGGTCTGGACCCGAACCAATCCCTATGGTTTTGAGGGACCAAGGGCTGTTTGGAGCTTCTGGGTGGTGGAGATTGGGTCATGGGATGATCATCCGAGATCATCGGATAGCACCACAAGAAAGTGGATCATCGGGTCATCTTTGGATCATCCCCATCGTTCACCTCCCTTTTCCCTTCCTTCGGTTCGACCATTGAAAAAACATGATTGGCCTGGTTTTTGTCGAGTAAAATCATAAAACCATGGTTGTTCGAGAAAAGCAGTGCATGCCCATGATGGGCCAGGAATCCTAGGGTTTTCACCAGCGATGTTTGTTTCACTTCCTTCAAGATCTTCAAGCCAAAAACCCGGACCTTCCAGCACCCCGGCTCCAAAACCGTCCCCCGTGGCGGTCGGGTGCTTTGGTTCTTTCGTGTTCTTTCTGAGGAGCCCGGACCATAGGCGGTCAGCACCAACAGAAGAATGACCATGACACCGAGCCACCTGAAGATCGACGAGCGCTTAGCTCCATGAAGCTCCATGAACCAGAAACCAAAAGGAACGAAGCGAACAAAAGCCCTTAATATGTGCAGTTTTTTGCTGCGTGCCTGCATCTCTATGTATCTCTCATGATGCAAAACCTGACATTCATTGGGGGTCTCGTTTCGTTTCTATTTTTATCAGCAAAATGGAATTGAATTATGTTCATTGACGCATCTCGCTAGAATACAGCAACAGACTCTTTCTGAATGAAAGCGGATCGGGTTACAAGTTACAACACATAAATACAGAACACACTCCTTCTTATCTCAAAACGGATAGTCCTAAAAAGGAATAAACCATATAAACCTTTGGCTGCGGGAAATCAACCTGCCAACCCTCCCAAATTTCATGGGAGGAATCCTTCAACCTCCTCTTCGAATTGCTGAAACTCAGCCTGCCCACCTGCCGGCCCCCCTTTGTTTCTTCCCTTCGCCAAGCTCCCCCAACACATGGTGCTTCGACATCACGTCGGACACCTGCGGCCAGTCCTGCAGGCAGGGCAAAGCCGGTGGAGAAGACCGGGTTCGGCGAAGCTGGTTGGAGACCCTTCGGGGTGGAGAAAGAGGATGTGAGGACTCAAAGCTAATTACCTATAGCCTGTAGCCTATATAGCACTTCCTGTCTGGGGCTCCTTGTCTGCAGACCTGTACTATAGTGCAGGGTTAGTCCAGCCAGGTGAACCCGGTTCCCAGGAAGCAGCTGGTGTGGAGCCTTCGAACTGGGTCTGCCAGCACGAAACTTGGCAGCTCAGCTGAAGGCAGGGCTAGAGGGGCAGCTGAAGGAGAAACACTCCCGATGTCTCACTGCACAGGAAGCTTTCCGGCCTCCAAGGTGGTAATCTGAAAGACAGTAAACCTGGGTGCAGGTGGTGCAGGTGGCGATGCAAGTATGCAGACCAGACTGACAAGAAGGAGTTCGCTAGTTTACTTGACCATGAACCGTTGTCACGCCCAGCTGTTTCTCTCAACAGGGAACTGTTTCCAACCAAACCCAATTTGCAGAGCTTCTCCCAATCTTTGACACGCCCGGCATGTTCAGAGTCTGGCAAAAAGTCTTGGTGCTGGCGGATCCAAACCAGGGGTGGTTCATGGACACCCCGACCATATCACCTCTAATAAGGAGGTATTATTAGACAGCCCTGAATGGGCCCAGGAAGAGGCATATGTTTTTTTTTTCACCCGATTCCTAAAGCCCCAGAGTTCCGGGAGTTCGCACAGTCGAGCAGCCGAACTAAGTTGGATGAAGCTCTGCCCCAGAGGTGCCTCGCCTCGGCGGCCTTGATGAGCTCATGTTATTGGACATACAAAAACACTACTTTCGGATGGTAAAAGACAAGGTTTTACTGGTTCTTTGGACTTGTGGGGTAATTATGATATATGCATGTATATTTATAAAAAGATTTGTGGCTGAGGTCATGATCATCCTCCCATCAAGATCATTTGCCCGGTTCTTGGCATGCTGAGGTCCCCTACACTGATAAGGTCAAAGATCCGTAGTAGGTCATCATCAGGTCAAAGTATCCCTGCTCCGGATCTTGCTCCGCCACACCTGGCGAATGACAAAGCTGCTGCTAAGCAGCTCCACTGGCCTAGCCAGGACCATCCAAGGTCCAAGGTGCCCCAGCCCCTAGTTGTAGAATCTCGCCTTTGCAGGTTTTTCCAATTGGGGAGACCCCCTTGGTTGGGGTCGTAGAATCGCCTGAAAGCCTTTGGGTTGACTTCGATTCCAGGCGCGGAATCTTCAAAACAACAAAGAACACGTCCAAACATGGAGCACTCTCAGGTCTCCACGGGCGGAACATATATCTCTTGACCGGATTCTCTCTTAACCTGACACGACCTCCACACCGAAGCAGCGCTTCAGAGCGCCGCTTCCTTCAACCGCGAAACGCTTCCGCCTCCTTCACCGCCCCGGATTCCGAGCATGACGTTGATGGGTTTCCCCTCCCATCCGGCGCAAGCGAGCTGGCGGCCTCCGGGACAGATGTCAGGCTTCAGGGCACGGTAGAAGACCAAGGCAAAGACATAGATGATCAAACCTTCGATCCGATCCGATCCGAACCGAACCGATCCGCAAGCCCCTTTGGATTGCTTTGGAGAAAGCCAACTGAGCCAACAACAAACCAACTAAGGAGTCAACCCATCCTACGGACCATCCCATCCCGTCCCACTCATAAGCAACCCGACCGATCGGGGGCTCCCTCCCTTCCATCCCATCTCCAGGGGTCCCGACTCATGAGCAACCAAGCCCAGACGACCGTCCTCGCTCCGTCGCGTGGATTGGGTCGTCGTCCACGGAGGGAAGGTGGCGAGGGAAGGTGGCGAGGTCGGTCCCAATGGTTTCAACCCAAAGAGAAAACTTATACCTAGCGCTTCCAAAGGATGCCCAATGGACACCTGTAAGTAGTGTGGAGATATATCCATTGGTGACCCCTTGGAAGCAGCTGGTATATAACCCAGGCACGACCCACGGGACTGCCATATATGCCTATATACATTGACCCCCCAAACTCACCACCCAACTGATCGGCATATATGACAGACATGGAATGTCTGGGTAAGAAGCTTCCGGTTGATTCTGTTTTGGGACGTGCCATCTTCTGTGCCATCAGGCAAGCAAGCTAGGGACCTGACAGTGATCTGGAGTGGCTCCAGATGGGGTGCAAGGAAGGGCAAAACGCCTAAGGACCTGACATTCACTTGCTTGCCCGAAACAAAGAGGTCCATCCTTGGTGAGCATCCCTCATAAGTAAATGTAGAGCAGTCCATCACCTTCGGATTGGTTCTCGCATGTGGAAAATCGCTTTGGCAATCCTGCCAGCCATCTCCACCAATCCGAAGTACGTACTCGACTAGACCTCCACTTCCGGATCCATCTGGATCCCCAATTGGCGCGAGTGGTTTCAAACCCACCCTCCATCCACTCTCTCCATCCACCAAACCAATCGTTGAGTCCTCAGGGAGACCATGATGCCCGTGACAAGGAGGTATAAGGGCTTGAAGAAGCGCAGCAAGCGGATCAGTCGCACCTCGTGTCCGGCCGCCGATCTCGCTCAACGACCTTCGAGAAAACGAGAAAACGAGGTCACAAGGAGGTCACGAGGAGCTCCGAGCACACCGAGCTCGTGAGGGCGAGGCTCGGAGATTTCGAGGTTTTAGAGCTTTTCTGATTGGTTTCACAGGTCAGCCGGAATGGAGCCGAGTTCGAGGTTTCAAGGAGTTTTATATATAACCCAAACACTCCATGGGACTGGCATATTTACCTATATTGGCCCCTGAGCCTGAAACCACCCCAATGTGGGTGAATATGCCATACATGCAGCGTTTGGGTAATATCTTACAATTCGGTCGAAAGTCGTCATCTTCTGCCCTGTGAACAAACGGCCGTTACGTTGATTTGTAGCAGCACCTATCGTGAAGAAACGACGTGCAAATTCCACCAACCGAAGGTGCATAGTTCACAAAACGAGTTGAACCAACCAGCAGCTTCCAAACCTGCACAATCGCACTGCACACTGTAGGACCAAACCATAAAAAATACTCGTTCGCACTGCACACTCTAACACCCAACCATAAAAAATACTCGAGAAAGCATTGCTGCCTAGCTTGGACTTGCTTAATGAAAACGCATATTCCCCATGCTGCCAGGGGATTCACCCACGAAGCTGGGAAAGCTAAGACAGGGCCATGGCGCAAAAGCCAAGCTATCCAACTACACTCCATTGCTGCCACCATCTCCACATCTCCACATACAGCACTCTAGGGCGAAGGGCCAGGCCGCCCAAGCGCAAGAGACGCGAGAGCCGCAGACTCACCTCACGTCCGGGAAAGCCGTGGGGCGCTGCAGCCGTGCTCGGACGCGGCGGCTTGGTCAGATGCCCCTACGCTCCTGGGAGGGCGCACGGCGAGGGCGCAGGGCCTTACATCGATGATCTCCAAGCAAACAAACACCAGCAGCAATGGTTAAAGCATGTTATATATACTGTAAAGCCAGCAGCATCAAATGTGTTAAAAAATGTTAAAACATGAGTCAAAAACGTCCTGTTTTTTTCCGGATCCTCCAGGGTTTTAGAACTGGTTTTGGTTGGTATTGGCTAGAGAGACGTGGGCAAAGTCCACATATATTTCTCTTCAGATCCATGCATGTGTCAGAATATCCATGAAACCAACTAGCCAGTGGTGAAACCACATTGGATGTTTGGGATGCTTTGGCATGAATGTCACAGATGGGGCAAAGCACCATGTTGTTCCTCCACCCTGTAAGGCCGCTGTTACGAGCCCGCCCTGAAATCCGGATAACTGGAGGTCGAAAATGTGTTGGTTAGGCTCATGGCCTGGACCATGGCAGCACAGCCGAGACATCCAACTGGTACCTGGGAAAAACTGACCTCAGTGGTTATATTGCTACAAGCCAGCGTGGTAGGATACCCAAACTTCTCAACTTGGAGCCTTCCTTTGTTCTAAATGGTCACCAAGTGGGCAATGGAGATTAAGCAAAGGCGATCTTAAGTAAAAAATCCGGGAAGAAACGTCTGTGGAACGATTCGGTTGCCACCACCTTCTGTCTCCGCGCGTGTCAGGCTCTGGGACCTCCGGCCATGACATCCTGGGCGACAGACCAGGTCGAGACTCGGCATTGGATCCGTGCAGAAGCCGTTGCACCGCCCTACAGAGGTGTTCCAACAACCCCTGCTGTAGAAAGTCCACGTCGACTCTTGTTTTTTGCCCCAGCCAATGTATTTCTTGGAGTTTCTTTTGGGTGTCATCTAGTCTTGATAAAACACCGAAGACCCCCAAGTATTCCTGGGACCCATGGGATCGTTTTCCGTTCGGAGACCACTCAAAAAGGGGCAAAAAATACATGCCTCGGGCAACGGGCGGGACCCGAGCCACGTCGCAACCGGTTGGGATCGCCTGTCATATCTCACTCAACCATCGAGTCAGGCTAGGAGAGGGCAAGCTGTGTGTGGCAGACCTACCTGTGATGAAAACAAGTCTTCTGCAATCATCCTCAGGCTCGATTCGATGTCAGTCTTTTGGGAACCCTAGCTAGTAGGTCAAGCAACTGGAGCCCGGTACCATCCAGATCCGATAGTCTCCAATGGTCCCCAACTCGGATGGGAATACTATACCGTATGGGTTATACATATACCCATGACCAGGGCCCAGTGGATGATGATGGTTAGGTTGCAGGCCTGGCTCTCAAAAATAGTGATCATCTTAGTTACCGACTGTTACTGGTTTGCTGGGCTACACCCTCACCATACCGACGTTCTTGCATGGCATACTCAGACGTTCTTGCTGTCAGGCGTCAAGGGAGCTACTTCCTCGAATGATGACGATCAAAAGGTCTACGAAGGAGATCACAATGAGACCTGTCATGGGGCGAGTAATGTAGACGGGGCTCCTCTTGATTCATAAAGCCACCAAATTTGGATTGAACATGATTGAACAACCAAATTTGGATGTTCCATTTGATTCTTGGGCCACAAGTTCCTTGTCATTGAAGATATTGATGCAGCACTTGCATATTGGGTCTGAGTGCTGTGAACGTGCTGATGGTTCTATTTCCTTAAACTCCCTTGATATAATTACCTGACTACTGCGTGATTCTAGCCAAGAAATCAGAAGGGCGAGTTATGCTGCTCAGGAAGATCTGCAGGAATTGCTCGTGGCACCGCAACAGGCATGCGGCATGGTGCCTGCACGTTGCTCTATTGGCAGCTTCAGTTCTGCAAAGAGGGCACCGAGGTTGGCATGGGCACGTTCCACGGCCCCGCAAAAAAGAAACAACAACAACAACAGCCTCTTTCAAAAAGGCAAACAAACGGCGAACGCGCATGACCAACAATATGACATGAACTTGGATTGTGTGCTCCCGATTGCAGATTGCATAAAACTTAGCCCTTCTCAAGTCTTCCCAAAAGTTCATTGATCTTGTGGCAGTTTTGATAGCAATAGCCTTACAGTTGGATTCTCGCTGCACTTCTGTATCCCACCTTGCGGTTGTTACATGTTGTCACTAATTCCGGGTCATGTCGGTTCTTTTTTGTAACAACCCCCCTTCTTGATCCACTTGACTCACTTGACTCACTTGACTCTCGAAATCCACTCAGTTTTGCCTCAAGCTAGGCCACCAAGTCCTTCACCGGGACCATGACCCAGCTGCCAGCATCCCCAGATGTTTGATTCCTTTTGGGGGAGGGGCACTTCTACAGATCTCCCGCTGGCTGATCCGGCGTCCATTTCTCCCAGATCGGCCAACAGATCGGCCGAGATCTGCCCTGGCTGCCTAAATCCATCAGATTGAAGGCACTCTTGAAGAAGTCGGACTGGCCCGTTTGGTCGGCGTGCGGACTTTGGTCGGAGCAGGCACAGCTCGCTTCGGGGGTCTGACCGTTGGATGCATCGAACGCCAAAGGAAGAACGCGACACCAACATGGAAACCATTGGAAACCTGAACATATTGAAACGTGGGCTCAAACAACGTGATTGATGTGATTGAACGCTTTTAATGTGTTCAAATGATCCCACGGGGGGGCAAAGGTATACCTTCGCAGCAAAGGCTTTGGGGCCCTGCCCATCTACTGCCAGTGACTCACAGGCCGTAGCTTAGAGGCTACGTGGCCTGAGAGGAGCTCCCAACAGAGATCAAGCCTTACCAGCAGGGTCTTCTTAACGCATGTCATGCCATAAGAATCCGAACCTGGAAAAGGACATTGGTTTGAGTGCCAAGCCCTGCTAAGATGTCAGGTCCAAGGATTCTCGGGGGTAAGAAGGCAGTGGGTGAAAACAGTGGGTGAAAACCCAAAAGGAAATGAAGAGAATCGATTTCCAGACAAGTCAACCTACAAGGAACTGGAGCTTCAGGTTCAAAAAACCCCAAGACACCGTCGCCGCCAGAAATGCCGGACCGGGCCCCGTAGGCGATGAGCCGCATGGTAAGTTCCAGGAAGTAGAACACGGTGAAGAGCACCTGAAGTGGATGAAGGATGATGAATTCAATCCTTTTTGATGGACAAGTTAATGGACCATTTTTGACAGCGCTGATACTTTTGGGGGTCCCTTTTGGATATTATGTGTCATTTCAGGATCAAAATGATCTAAGAGTGGTGCAAAAAAAGGGTGCCAAGATGCGAAGATATTGGTGAGAATGAGGAGCTCACAAGGTCAAGGGCAATCTGAAGAGGTTTCCAAAGCCCTACACCCTCCCCTTGTCAGCCAGACTCTTCTGACTCTTGCTTTTCACTTATATAGGGGCATTAGCTTGCGCCTAGTTGGAGGCGTCGGAATTGTCGTTCGGTTCGGAGTTCACCAAGGAGGCTGGGCTACAGCCTCTCAAGAGTGAGGTTAAATTATTATCCAAGACTTGCAGAGACCACTCCACCGTACAGGTACATCTACCATCTACCAAGGGCCCCGCATACCAGTCCATCCAACATCCCAGAAGCACCCCAGGTCATGGGTTCCTTTTTCAGATCACCCAAAACCTCCCTCGGATCTCAAATCTGAGCTGTCCACATCCACCACAAGGCTCCCCTCATCTTCCAAGCCTCGGCGGATGCGGCGTCTGCCGGAGTCCGCTGACTCCGTTGTCCCAGTGGCGATGACTTTCACTCACTCACTCACTCACTCACTCTGCCGTGACGGTTGCATCGTGGAAGCTTTTTTCGGGTGGAAGACCCTGAAGGCTGGTGAAGGTAAAGGGGAGCCAAGCGACTTGCGCACAGGTCCTGCGACTCGAGTCTAGGTCGAGTCTGGGTGAATCCTAAAAATATATAGGTTATGGAGATGACCCGGCACGGACTCGAGGCAAAAAAAAGACATGTGGAGCCTGATTTGGCCTAATGTAAGCCCAAAAGCATCATCCTCAAACAGAACTCGTCTGGACTGTAGTCGGGTGCTGGTCAATGAATTTCTCAGCATGGCAAGAAAAGCAGAACATCAGGGGAATCAGGGGGTAGGTTTCCGGACAGTCTCCGTTTTCTCACCCTAGGGATCCAGTCGTACCTTCTCAGAAGGTGTTTGTGCCAGGAGGGTCCAGTCGTACTGAACCTCACCTGAGGTTCAGTACGACTGGATCCCTACAAGTAGAGTCATGTCTTCTCCTTCCTTGTCTGTCTAGGTGGATCCTGGTCATCTAATCCATGTCTTCTCCAGCTGGCCGCCTCGAAAAAATGGCGCAGACCGGACCTCTGCGGGTCTCCATGAGGAAAAGAGCAATGCCTTTAGTCGTGGATCCATTGTAGCTGGTAAGCAGTGGTTCCAGTTCGACTTAATCCCTAGACTGACCGAAACCCTGGTTCCTTGCCGTCCCAAAATGCCTTCGCCAATGACTCAGCCTCGCTCTCCGAGTCCCTGTTTTCCCGAGGACATGGCCCATGTAGACGGACTGCCCGAAAATCACCAAGACCACGAGGGACATAAACCTGAGGGGCCATGGACCGACTTTCTCGATGGCCAGCTTCATCAGGCTTCTATCGGCTTTATATATTCCCAGGTCCCTGTCATGCATACCTGCCAGAGTATTATTCCCACCATACATATCTACATGGTGGATCTTCCAATGAAACGAAGAGTTTCTCGACATTCAACAATCAAAATCCCCAGGCATTAGCCGGACATTCCATCCCAAACACTCCATCAAAGTGCCATGACGGACTGCCGAGTTTCACGGCCAGGGGTGGTGAGTTTGGGGGGTCTGTCTGGGGCATATGGCAATCGCAAACAGGTCGTGTCTGGACGGACTGGAATGGAGGTCTCTGCATCGACTCCATTTCAAGCACCAGGGTTCCTTGGAGTGAGAATGCAAATGTGCCTCTAGCATAGGCCCGAGGCCCACCTAGGCCCACCTTTGAATCAATCCCGTGATCGTTTTTGGCTCGAACACCCATTGTTTTGCTCAGGATTTTACACTACAAAACTACCAAACCAGGCGCTGTTTTGTTTTCTGATTCTAATGGTCCTGGAAGGCCAGGGTCCCACAAATCTGGACACTTTTCGGAGGACTCAGCTCTCCATCCGTTGACCGCCTTTTGGGTCGGCGCTTGGGAAGACGAGACGTGCGGCTCCGCGCTGGGTCAAAGGCGCCGGGTCGACGGTTTGTCCATCCGCTGGGTGCAGATCACGTGGGAGTTAAGGCGTCAAGTGACATAAGGAGAGTAAGTAAATCCCATGTCATCCAAAGGATTCCAAAGGTAGTATATAACTAACTATGCTCTTTAAAATGGTTCACCGCTCGAGCTTCATCGGGGCTTCCTGGCACGCAGACGTGGCTTTCATAAGATCCTTCATCGGGCCAAGGGCTTCGCCGAGCAGAGAGCCCCTTCCAGTCATCTCAGACAAACAGGAAGATCAACCTTGCAACCCCGTCATGGTTCTTCTCATTTATTTTGGAACACAAAAAAGAACCATGGTTCCAAACCATTCCCAGTGAACCCCACCAGAGAGGAACAACCACGACCAGGTGGACCAAAAAGTGGCCAACGACAGCCAGCGGAGAACACCGAGCGTGTTCCGCGCAGGACGCCGAACGTGTGCATGTTCACGCGCGAAAAAGGCTGCCGAGGAGCGCAGTGTCATCCACGACATAGAGGCAGAAGCCACTCCTTAGAGGAGCGCGTGTGCAGGTGTGTGTTTGTGTGTTTATGTTTGTGTAATCAACCCTAAGAGAACAACCTTAAAAGGTAAACACTGTTTAAAAAAACTTTAGAGGAAAAAGACATTGAAAGGCCACCTCCCATATTTAAGACCATGCTGTCGTCCTTCTCCAATGCTTTGGATCTCATCCTATAATCATCCTATCATCTCATCCGCTGGATCGCGTAGGTCTCATCCTAATCCTATCTCGTCAATCTCAGCCAGGCGTCAGCTTGGGGAATCGCGTCGGCGGCTGGTCGTTCAAGTTCGACTTGCTCATGCTCCTGAGTGTCTCCGCATAACACACGGGCTGATCGGACCTCGGAGCGGACCTCGGGGCATACAGTAACCGTCCAGCATCACCGCAGAGTGTGTACACACCCCGAACCGGTTTGTAGATGAAAGGAGGGTTGATAAGTGTCCAGCTGTTGGAGGGTTGACGTCCTTCCTTTGGGCGAACAGCGTTTTTCGGAAAGGCTTTGGACTACTTGACGACCAGCACAAAGCAGCTGAATATCCTTAATGACATCCCTATGAAGACCGTCTGACCCTGTTGGTGAAATGCTTCATTCTATCCAAACCAGTCGTGCCAAAAAGGGGTCATGTGGCAGGAATCAGGAATCAGGAACTTCCACCTTATGAAACTCCCTCGTGGAGGAGGTGAGGTGGGAGGTGGCAGGCCATGCGTCTCTGGATCCTGAGGATCCCTAGGATTTGAGGCCCACCATTGGCGTGCTTTTGGCATGCGGCGATTATGTTCCAAAAACTCTAGAGTTCAAGATCAGGTCAACTTTTCTGGTCTTGGAAGGAGCTGGCTCTTGATGGAAGGTCCCTGTAAGAACCACCAGGTCAACACCCCAAACCAGAGATTCTCCATCGAAAAAGTCGGTGGTCCGCCATCAGTAGCATGGTGTCAAAGACAACACATGAATAATTAACACATTTGTAGTTCACACTGGCAGCTTGTCTGACCATTCACTGAAAAAGGCTCTGCCATCGAAACTCACCTTGAAAGGACCCACCATCCCACCTCTTTTCCCATGCACCTGAACTCGAACACGTTCCGCATTTGGACATTTCAACCACCCGGAAATCAGAATCCGATCCGGTCGAACTGATCATTCACCCATCCACATCCAACGATGCCCGGAGTCTTCGCTTGCGACGTGGGCGGGCGCTCCTGAGACGCTGTGTCTGGATGAGAGCTTTCGCTGAGGCATTCGCCTTGTGCCTGGCAGCGGCCAACACTGGAGATCGCGCGTGCGCGGGGCGGAGTCCTTATGGCCAGACCGAAAGACTGAATGCCTCGAAAGCAAATCTTGATAGATCTTCTGTGTGGTTGTTCTTTGCAGTGATGTTTTTACTTAGGCCAGTCCCTGCTCCTCACTGGGCTGTGGATGTCAGAGTTGATGTGATCAACACCTCACGATCGACCACGTGAACCATGGGCTGTCAATCTCATCTAAGGTCCAAAGTGCCTACACTCCGTCTCACTAACATGGAAGTGGAAAACCTCCTGTTTGTATAGGAAAGTAGTCTTAGTGAGTCAGAGAGTAAACATGTTGCCTCAAATGAGTCCCCTCGACACCGAAACCCGAACAGTTCAAGGCTCGAAACTGAGGTCGGACGGTTATTGGATAGACGTGATGTTGAAAAGTCATGCTGTAGTCCTTCTACCTTGACCGTCCAATGTGTGTTCAATGGAGATGCCTAAGTAGTGCAGAGTATATAGTCCTTCTTTTTAGTTGTCAGGCCTGACCTTGAAAGCACCCACCCACCCCGCATCGTGCAGCAAGCACTCAGCCAGTTCAACAAAGAGACCTCTAACTTGCCCATCCCGAACGGGTTGGACGCCCTCAAGAAAAACAACGTGTGTTCCACGCTGAGCACAAATGGCGATGTGAAAATGATGTGTGTGTTCACCTTAGGACGGATGCGTGGTCAGATCCGATTCCGTCAACAAGAGTCCTTTCACCAGCAGGACTCCAACCGACTCCAACCGCCCGAAAAAAGTGGAGGAAACGGTACCCGAGTTCCTCACAATCCATGTATGGAACATTTGATGGTTTTAAGATGCTTTAAGAGTCCACGTAGGTCAGTATTCCATCTGGTCTGCAAGAAATCGGTCCCAACTGCGCCCAAAAAACGTGCCAACTGCGCCACACATCCAAGAACGAGGTGTGTAGCTCAAATGACAGGAGACCCAATGAGACCAACCTGAGGCAACGACCCCCTGGGTTCGGTATGACCAGTCTACTCAATAGGAAAGTGGGTGTCTCCCGGATCTAAAATACATCCACCCAGACGCTCCAAACAGCACTTTGGTCCCTCAAAACCATAGGGGTTTGAGGGTCCAGACCCCTCCATAGGATTCGGGTCCGACCCCTGCATATCTCATGAGGGTCCAGGAGCGTCTGGGCAAGAAATACAGCTCCACCGCACTCCGTGCCTAGGCTTGAAGTCCTGGCCGCTGACATGAGCTGCTGCTGCTTCGTTGCGACTGGGTCATTGGCTTGTCATAGATGGTTGTGGGTCATGGCACCAGAAGCATCATGAGATAACTTGTAGCCAAGTCAACTGTTCTTCGTGCTGTGGGTCTATAAATGAGTCGACCAAGCAGGAAGCTTTCCTCACCACCATCAGCTTGGATCATGTTCCTTTGTTTTGAAAAGCGCCAGCGCCCAGCATCATCAGCTTGACCAGTTGCGAATGGAGAGAGGATGGAGGCTTGGCTGTGGGTCATGGTACCCGGAGCCGGCTTCACCCTGGTAGGTTGACCTCCCTGGTATAGTCTATTCAGAGTCTATTCTGTTCATGACCTTCGAACAAAACGGCCTTACCTGCAAGGTGTGTGACCCTGCAAGGTTGTTGTTTGGATGACGACATGGAGCCGGCTTTCTAGCAACATCCAGCGGCCCTGAAGAGGCCACGAAAAAAAACAGCAAAGTAAGCCCATGCGCCAAAGGATGACGTCCAGGCACCTCCTGCTCGCAGGAGATCCCTTTAAGAGAACGGAGACCCGACTCGTGCTTTTTGGGCCGTCCCCAATCTCCCAAGAAGGACCTTTTCAGGATAGTTACACCCCTTGAAATCCCTTGGATGACCATGTTCCTTTACCCCCAAAGATGGTGAACTCCACGTTTCTTGAGAGGGGGGCTTGAAATCCCTTGGTTGACCTTTTTCCTCTACGAAAAGGTGGTGAACTCTACCTCCATGATGACTTTAAGGGAGTGGACTCTTTCTGTTCCTGGTCCAGCTCTTTTGGGCGGATGGAGAGCCTCGCCTTGGACTCCCGAATGGAACCCGTCGGCTTGACAGCATTCGAACCTGGAGAACGAGCGACCATGGGGTCAGTTTTATCAGGGGTTGTTGCATGAGGTGGACAGAGGAGATGAGTCATTGCAGGGGAGAAGATGCTGTTTTTGCCGTTTAGTCCCAAAGTGGTTGAGCTGATTTCACTGATTTCACCCATCTCTTGCAGGAGTCCGCTCGGAAGGAAGGAACAAATGTCTTTCTTTTTTGCCCTATATAGGTGGTTGTATTTGTATCACCGTATCGCGGCATGTGGCTCAAAACATGTGAGATCTCAAAGGGTCACTTTGAAGCATCAGGAGAGGTTCAATCACACCCCAATCCTACTGAGGGTGAGGATCTGCAAGGTTGGTGGCACAGGCAACCTGGCACGGGCTGGGCTTGCCTTTTCCGGGCGTTTGAGGTAGTGTTAGGGTTTTAACTTGTTTCAACAAGTCCTGAGGCGGTCCTAGGGTCTATTTATTCCGCATTGGGCATGTTGCACTTAATCTCCAGGGGGATTGGGGGGATTGGAGCCACCAGAAACCTACTTGTCGAGTCGAGACACATGCAATTGGAACTCGGTGGATTTGCAGGGAGACACTGGGTTGGCAGGGTGGGAAATCAACTGTTCTCACCCGATCTTCACACACAGGAGGGCCTTTGCAATTTGGAGATATGTCGTTCTAAATTAAAAACACACGGATTTCTTGCTTAGTTTGTTCACCTCCCCAATGGCACGCCAGTTCGGCAAAACAACGGATGTCTGTTTGTTAACTTCTCCACCTCATCCAATTCCTCAAAATCTGGTGTTTCGTGGATAAACACCACATATATGTAAGAGTTATATAAATATAAAAGTTATATAAGCATATGTTTTAGTGGCGACGATGTTCGCTCCAAGCCGGTGAATACGTTGGCATGTTCACCTTCATTTTCCCATGGTGCACTTGTTGACGTTCACCGAACCGCAGATGAAACGATGGGATGGCCCTCGATCACACCGGCGGGGCTTCGGCAAAACGATCGAACGATCGTCATAGTCCAGTTCAAGACATGGTTAACTTGGTTATATAATCAGAGTCATAGTCATAGTCCAATCATCATAGTCATAGTGGGTCAAAACTGGGTTACTTTGGCTGACCAGAGAAAATGCACAGAATGGACGAAACTACAGGAGGTCAACCTACCCTGGTGAAAGTGGATCTGGGTGTCCACCCATTCCTACATCTCCACAACCTGACCGCACTCCCCAAGAGTTGTGCATTTCTCAAGTGCTTACACTGACCCCACCTCACCAAGTGAAACTGGTCGCAAGTGGACATGGGGCTGTTAAACTGTTATTGACCCAAAAGGTCCTGCTCTTTCATCCTCCGACTGCCCAAGCGCCCTTCATGGGTTTTTAGCTGCTCGACGCGTGGACTCAGCTACAGCTACAGCTACAGAAGTGGTCAGCTTCAGCTTGCCCCAACAATCCCACAACTTCCAAGTGGCCGTACTCTGCTGCAACTTGCAAAGCCGTCGTCCCACCTGCCATAGTTGCATGTTTGCTAGCTCCAGCCTCGAGCAATAAATGCACAACTTCCAAGTGGCCGCACCCAGCTGCAACCATCAAAGCCGTGGTCCCGGAGGTGTCTGCTGCATCTTTGTCAACCCCAGCCTCGAGCAACAATCGCACAACTTCCAAGTGACCTTTCTCAGCTGCAATCATCAAAGCTGTCTTTCCTATTGTGTTTGCGGCATCCATGTGAACTCCAGCCTCGAACAACAATCGCGCATCTTGTAAAAAACCATTCCACATTGCCTCGAGTATCAATAGCCAACCTGGTAAGTAACCATTCTCAGGTGCAATCATGAAATATCGTTCTCCTCTTGTGTTTGCGGCATCTTTGTCAACTCCGCCCTCGAGCAACAATTGCAGAACTGCCAAGTGGCCATTCTCGGCTGCAACAAACAAACCTTCCTTGTTTGGGCGCTGCGGCTTTTGAAGCAGTCTTTCAATTGCGATGATATGATTAAACCTGCAGCTGCGAAATAGTTCTTCCTCCGCAATCTCATCAAAAGGCAGGATTACCAGCTGTACAAACGGTAGTGGTATCAAAGGCATGTCATCCTGCAGTTCGCCGATGTCGTCATTGAAGAGGCTTTGCTGAAACCTCGAGCACCCAACCTGAACTGAAAGGAGCTGCTTTAGTTCCCGAACAGTCTTCCCACTTTCCACCATGCAACACAACTCATCCTTACTAAGCTCGGCAACTGTTGTGCCAAACAAAGCCGTAACGTGCATCATTGAGATTCAGAAGCGAGAGGTGCCGGCTTGATCCATGGTCTGAATCAAGGCTGCAAATGCAGCGACACCGGAAAGCACGAAGAAAGCCTGCAGGGCAAAGCATTGTTAAGGTAGTTTGTGAAGCAAGGCAGAACCCGGAATAGCCAAACTGGCTTGTTCTTGTGTCCATCTGTTTGTCCCATCAAACTGCGAGTTTGCTTCTTATAGCTCCTAAGGTTACAGAAATGGCGTGTTGACCATGTTTAAGCGACTTTCATCCATAAATGAACTGTAACGACCACATTCTTCCAATACACTGTCCCTATTTGCATTCTATGAACCATTAGCAAATTGATTCTTTGACTCTAGACAACGCAGCTGGACCAGCGAAACCAGCTTCCTCGCACACCGACGGTCACCTCCCCCAATTGGTGCCGTGGAAAAAAAAACACTGGCCCATGGCGGTCTGACCTTCCCTACAAGTCTGACCAAGTCCAACTGGCCTCCTGAAGTCGGTGCTTTTTGGGGTATGACCAATCTCCATGAGCTCCAACTGACTTGTAGGCCGTGGGAACCTCCCATGGGAACCTCCTCCCGTCCGGGTCACCTCCCATCCGGGCGGTCCGCCGGCCTTGGGCATCGCCATCGGACTCGTCCAACGACCTCGCCCAGCGGACGGCGGAGGGACTGGCTCAGCCGCTGACAACGCCCGGAGTGGAGTCGTCTCACTTCCGGTAAAAGACAGGACAGCTGGATGTCTGGGACTGGCAAGCACGAGAAGCGGCCGCCCAGACGGGTGCTTGCTTGATTTCAGGGGTCAGGTCATATACTGTATGCTAGTCCCAGACGGGTCGTGTTTGGGTAACTGTAGTAAAAACATCGTAAAACAGTGGTTCCTTGGTCAAACCCTTTATGATTCAAGGTGGTCCTAGGGAGCTTCTGTAGCCACGGTCGGGCAGGGCTCAGCCTGGCTGAACCACCGCTGGACTACACCGCTGGACTCGCTACCATACCAGGGCCCCTGGCCATGGGGTGGTTAATGGACACCCCGAAATACCTCGTTTCGGAGCTAGTATTAGACACCCCAAACCGGGGGCCCAGGTATATCTTATTAGATCTTCTTATATTGCGTTCATGTGATGCTCGAAGCTTTGCCCCAGCACGCGCCCCAGCGCAAAGCAGATGGTGTCTATTCATGTGCGAATGGTTTGACCAGGCCAGTATATAAAGAGGACAGCAAAGGGAAAATAAGGGAAGAAGACTGGAAAGTCAACCAAAAGATATGGGACAAGACATGACAAGACATGTATACAACATACCAGGACCATCCAATGTCCAATGGACTATCCACAACGCTTAGGGGTCTCCATTGGACACCCATTCCAGGTAAGAAGAGTACGTCCCAAAGAACAGCGAAGGGAGCAACAAGCAAGAAGCAAACAACTACAAGTAGCGGAATTAAGTCCTATTCCTACTGGGGTCTTCCATTTTTAGCCACAAACGAATCACACAACGATCACAAAGAAGCAAGTTCTATGAGAGCTATAAGTCAGAGACCTTCCCCAAAATCATCTCCCAGGCAATGCTGAATTCTGGCCGAACTCCGTGGAAGCCTGGCATAGATGCCTATCTAGATGATCTAGATGAGTCCATCCAATATTTATGTTTGAGATTCGGCGTCCAACGGTGAACGAATGCCCACACACCACGGTTGCAGGTCAAAAGCCCTCCAACACGAATTCATCCAATCAACCGAACCAGTCCGGCCCAAAAAATAACAACCAGCAGTCACAAGACGGGGTGCTATCCATGGAGGTTTTTTGGGTGCCCCTGTCACATCCACAGCCCCTGGATGGGACGAGCCACACCACCCAGGCCTCCATGTGACTCCTGCATATCAGAGTCTAATATCCCTAGGGATCCACTGCCACCGTACCTCAGGTTCGGTACGACTGGGCCCTAGGGATCCACTCCTGGACTCCTTCGGACTTCGTTCCAGAACGCTTCCGGCTCCGCTTCCACCCGACGGCCAATCCATCCGCCGCTCCCCAAGCGGCGTCATCACGCCGCCGCGCTTGCCGCCGCTGCCTGGCAGCTCGGATCGACGGATCGACCAACCTGGGAGGTCTGGGACGGGTCCGGGGGTCTGGGGTGGTACAGGGCGGGGTCCTGGGGTCAGGGTGGTTGATTGATTGATTGAGGGGTCAATGGATGTCAATTGACATCCGTATAGGTCAAGAGTACATCTTGCAGTCCGGAGTGCTATTCAGGGACGTCCAGTTCGAGGGGACGCCCAGAAGTCCCATGCAGTTCAACGAGATTTGGTCCCATTGAATGTGTAAAGAAGCTTCCTGACATCGAGTCACCCTTCGTCAGGTCAACTGACTCCCTGCAGGGTATGTTCTTCTGGTACTCAGAAAACGAACCCAAAACTCAGAAAAACCCTTGGAAAACGGCCCGCAGCTGGGGCAGCCAGGCTGCCGCCATGTGTTTTTTTCGGACCTCAACCGATGGATCGCTCTCAGTTCGCCGGCGGCTTCTCCACGTCACCGTCGTCGACCCTTCGGACGCGAACCCTGCGAACCGGTGCCTTTGGATCGAGCGGATTCCGGGTCCACCTTTCAGCTATAGGGTTTGAGCAATCCTTGTTTTTGCTAAGATACCCAGACATGACCTGGCATATTTTTACCTATATAGGACCCCTGAAATCAACCACCCCTGGCGAAGGTGAAGGGGTTTTATGCAGTGTGGCGAAGTAGATGAAAAAACCAAACACAACCTGTCTGGGACTGGCATAAGAAACAATACATTGACCACTGAAATCAACCCCTTAGCTAGGGCTCCAGTCGTACCTTCGTTTCGAAGGTGGGACCGGGGTGGGTGCGAAGAGGGTCCAGTCATACGTAACCTGAGGAGGGTACGACGACTGGAGCCCTATATATGGCTTTGATAAATCTGCCAGTCCCTCAAGTATATGGATTCTGGGGGAGTTGAGTACCGCCCATCGGATGATGGGGCCTGGTTTACTGGGCCTTTCCATCTCCAAAAGACTTTCGTCGATGCAGGATCATCTTTGACCACGGTGACGTTCTTTTCTGGGCCACCAAATGACACTTTAAAAATTAGACACCAACAAAACAACACCAGTCAGTCCTAATGCACTCTAAAAAGACTTGTCCTTCGTCGATGTGAGCATGAAGATTTCAAGTGCACACACACCCTGGCCTTCAAAGACATTTTTGAAAGAATGGTTGACCTGTTTTGTAGTGTAAAATCAATCCCTACATATGAAATATTTTTGGTTGTTCAGTAAAGGCCATTAATCCTGGGGCACATCTCACATCTCTGTTAAATTCAACCAGTGGTACAGGTCCATGTTGTATGGGGGCCTTCCTCAATTCCTCCTAACACAGAAAATCCGGCGAAGCGTTCGGAAGATAAATTCTCACTCTCTCTCTCTCTCTCTCTCTATCTCATGTTTGTGAAAATGTCAAGATCACCAAAGTGAGCATGCACGGGCTGGGCCTGGGCAATCGTCATTTTGGGTCTATCCATGGGTCCGTTTTTATTAATAGTTTTGAATAGAATCATCATTTAGAATCTAGAATCATCCTCAGGCTACGTACAGATCTTTGCCGCAGATCCATTCGCTTCATGACCAGAACAATCTCCATGGTGGCTTCTCCATTTCTTCCGTTCAAAACGTAAGACATGGGTTTCTATCGCTCGGCCTTGCTCAGAGCGGGCGCAGGAGTTCAAGGACCTCGGCAAGGCGAGGCAGGACGCTCTGCTCATGGCGAAGCAAATGCCGAATGTCATGAATCCATGGGGTAAATGATGGTAAATGTATATAACCCTACAAGTCCAAAGACCTTGTTTCACCGGAGATGGTTAATAAAAACACTACTTAAGGAATTCAAAGTAAGTTTGACCGGCTCTTTTCTGGGTCAGACTGGACTTGTATATCGGGTATCTTTCCATCATTCCCATGGACCATCGGAAGGTCCGGATTCACTCGACGCGACGTCTCCTTCGGCATCGGCCCCGAATCGGAGCCGATCGAGCCCGGATCACTCTCTCGGCCGGAGCGACTGCGCTGGCATTTCCCAGTGACCGGTGTTCGAGTCCACCACGCGAGCCACCCGCATGTGTGGCTCGGACCCTGAGATCTTCGGTTCTGACCAGTGCGTGTTCCTATGATGTTCCTGGGTTTGTCACTTCGTGGCCGAACCTTGATCCCCAGCTGGTTGGGTTCGGTCTAAGGCCGGCCTGGAGTGGCCGGGCCAGGGTCACGAACTGAAGAAGCTGCTGGTTGGTGTCCTGCGCCTGCTTCCCATTTTCACAAAAACCAAGAGAGGTTAAGTGACCTTATAATTAGGACTTTACTGGGATACCTACTGTTGATGGACAAAATCCTGCACCACCTCACCACTTTACCCTGGAAGGGTCGCATAGCAACCCCCGTGCCCCCTCATTCAATGTTGGCGCGACCCCTCTAAGGAGGTGGTGCAGGATTTTGGACCTTCAACTTGTTTTTGTTTTCTCATTGTGGTGGCCCCAATGTTAACGAGGGAGAACGAGGGCAGCAAGAAAAGTGTGCGCAAAGTGGTGCAGGATTTTGTCCATCAACAGTATGGGATAGTCTAGTTCGGGTTCTTCAACCTCTGTTGGAAAGCCCTAGCCCGCTCAGATCGCCATAACTTAAGCATGACCCCATCGTCGTCCGTTCGTGCTCGCTTCCCGGGCACCTGTGGTCCAACTCCGCACGGCACGGCCCTAAGGATCCGGACCCTCAAAAACCATCAGTCTTGAGGGTCCCAAACCCCGACCTCTATGGAGGTCGGGTCGAGTCCAAAGGATCCTTAGTTCGGGATGATGTTATTGCATGGTGTAACCATTTGACCCCTTTTTTGGGCCCCAAAATGTGCTGATTTTGGGCGGGGCGCTGGTTTGATGGACCGAGAAGAAACCCCCATGCTTGTTCATTCTCAGCAAAGCGTGAAGGAACCCGTCCGGATCCACCCGACGACACGAGCAGAGCAGACGCGAACCACGGGAACGTTCCCGCTCCAGCGCCGAGTGGCTCGTGCGTGTTTTGCTTCCGATAGGTTCGACCTGCACATGGAGTAGAGTCGCAGTCCACTGGAGTAGCTGTCTGGCGTGCAATGGGGTGGAAAGGAGTAGCGGTCCACTGAAGTGCAGATCAGCAGGAGTCGAAGTCCAAGACCTTTAAAATGGTGGACCTGGTGCTAGTTGTGTAAAATCCTTACTCTCTCTCTCTGACATCAAGATCTTCGTTCTGTACAAACCCTTAAAATCCTACTGCGCCAGGCTTCGGTTCAAGAATGTTCAAGGGTCTCCCCCCTCTTCCAGACCAAAAACTGCCAGGCGGCCGCCCAGGTCGAGACGGTCCTTTGACCACGTGGTCTTTTGGTGGGCCAACAAAAAACATGCATGATGTATGACCTGACCGAAGGAAGTGGGTGCGCCCCCAACTTCAAAGAACTCGGCTTCTGGGCGCGAAGGACCCCATTTGCACAAAACCTCTCACTGAACGCAAAAAAAAAACAAAAAAAAACCTATCTGGTCAACCCTTCACTGATTTACTCTCTGTCTCTACGGCCCCTTTTGTTGGAACCATCGTCTTCAAGAAAGAACGACCCAACCCGACAACGAGCACCCACACCTGCCGGAACTTCCAGCATCTTCCGGGCCCTCAGGTGGCCGGCGAGGACATGCGTCGTGGCCGGTTTGTTCGAAATCGACGTCACCATGAGAACTATATACCTGGATCTTCCAGCTATGCAAATTTGCTGCTTTTGGGGTTGGTTTTACTGATAGGTTGAAAAGGCCAAAATGTTTTACTGTTGGAAGATCCAGTGCATTGATATACCTAGAAGCACCTGGGGCAAAAATTTCCGCCTCAGTCCGATTTGCCCCGGAGGATTCGCGGATTTAGGGGAAATCCGCGCCAGGTAGGAATTTCCGCGGCTAGCAGAGAATTTTTGCGCAAACAAATTTCAACATAGCCTTTCAAACACCATCACCACTGCCTAATACCGACCAGGTTGTCTCTTCCATGATTGCATACCTTGCATTCCACATAGCGTTCTGCAAGGACATAGCTTCACATCTCAGGATCTCATACCCTACGATTTTGACACTTCTTATAATTCATGACATTCACAAGTATGCTGCAACATTTGTTCAATCCCTTCAAAGGCACAAATTTTGTCCCGGGCACTTCCGGCGATTTCCCGAGTATTTTCGCCGTTTTCCCGGGTATTTCCGCCGTTTTCCTGGGCATTTCCGCCTTTATCCCGGGCATTTTCGCGCCAGGTGTTTTCAACTTTGGACTGGTTTTACTCCGTATGTGCTCATTCCGCACAAGAAACCTTCAAACACAAAGACACATATATGATATGATGGTAGCCAAATTTCCAGGTGGAGGTGGAAATTTAAATGCTGCCATTCTTTGTTTTCTTTGTGGAAGGACCGTTCCAGTGAGAAATGCCAAATGTAAACCATAAACCTGAGAAGCTGCAAAACGAAAGCCAGCGCTTCCCTTTCTCGACAACTGCGCGTCGAAGCAAGCAAATGAGCTCGCGCAGCTGCTTGCGGCCGCGTGTCAAATCTGCTTCATGTCTTGTTCTGCCCACACAGAGGTAACCATGTCAAAACAAAAACCTGCGCTTCCTGGCAATTGAGGGGTTCGGTGTCATTTTGCCCGGATTTTTCCTCTGCACGGGGGGGGTTTGGATGGAATCCGATGTTTTAGGCCGCAGCCAAATCTATCCACATTGACATCATTTGGTGTCTACCAGGACCTTCAAAGTGACCGTCCGAGATCCCAGAATGAGGTCACTTAGTCACTTAGTCCCGAATGAGGTCACTTGGAGACTCCAAAGAGGTCATTCTGAAGGTCCTGGTGTTTCATTCCACTTCCAGTAAGACTAAGATCCTTTGTTTCTGGTGGCTATGCGCAAGCGACTCATGCTCTTCAAGGAGTGCTGTAAGTGAAGTATCGGAGTGCTCTTCTGAAGCTAGCCTGGGTCCGTATAAATACTATGTTGCTATACCTCTTACACACCCACACAAGTTCAAAGCACGAATGAGACTTCAAAGCTGTGGATTGCTGTGCGTGTGTAGAGGCTATCGAGCGGTTGACGGAAAGGGAACTTGAAGTACTATACCTGGTAGCTGCACTATAGCTACCCTGGGTCTCTATACCTAGCAAGGTGCCAACTGCACCTTTATTTTCAAGGTGGCCTGAACAGAGTGTTTTAGGGCAGCAAACCGTGGTCTCAGGCCACCTTGAATTTAGCTTGAAAACCACAGCTACATAGCTACCCTGGGTCTCTATACCTGGCAAGGTGCCAACTACACCTTTATTTTCAAGGTGGCCTGAACAGAGTGTTTTAGGGCAGCAAACCCTGGTCTCAGGCCACCTTGAATTTAGCTTGAAAACCACAGCTTTGAAGCCTCATGCGCGCCATACCCGGGAACAGAACTGTAGCTACTTGTAGCTACCCTGGGTCCGTATAAATACTATGTTGCTATACCTCTTACACACTTATACAAGTTCAAAGCACGAATGAGACTTCAAAGCTGTGGATTGCTGTGCGTGTGTAGAGGTTCTCAAGCGGTTGACGGAAAGGCAACTTGAAGTACTATACCTGGTAGCTGCACTATGGCTACCCTAGGTCTCTATACCTTGCAAGGTGCCAACTACACCTTTCCATTCAGATGATGCAAATGATGCATTTGGCATTTCTTGCATCACCACCCCTCAAAAATCACCTCCAACACAACCTCAAAAAACCTTCCCTCGAAGCACCCTCCTCCCCCAGCATGTGCCGAGTTGACGTATACCTTTCTCGGGCCACCCCCCCAGACCCCCTAACTACTCACTTCGTTCGCCAGACACAACTCCGCTAGCGCCTTCTACGAAGGCTGGCTTTCGTAATTATTCAACTCTTCTAGAATATATATATATATATAGTCTTTGTCTGACTAGATTTCCACGGCAAAAAGCTGCTTTCCGCCCCAGGACGGGAAGAGCCGAAAGGGTCTTCTAGGTATATCGACGACAATGGACGAGATTTGCTGCATGAGGAGAGCCATGGAACATGATGGAGCACCAAATTGCTGTGACACACACCATTTTCAGGCATGCTAAGACAGTCAACCCACCCTTCTCGAATTCCATCTTCCAAAGTCCAAAGCTCACAAAAAAATTCACCTCACATCCCTGCCAATAAGGAACCAGGGTCCCCGGGTTGGGTTTCTGGGTCGGTACAGCTTCAGTCTTTAGAACTACAGTTTACCTATACGTTGGGTGTATCCATATTACCAGTAACAAGAGGTGATGATGATGATGGTGATGGTGATTAAGTTGCAAGCCTTGTTCAAAAATAGTGATTTGCCATTGGTTAGCCCTGAGCTCATGGAGACCAGGGCACAAAAAGGCCAAGTCAGTGACACGACGCCTTTCGTCACTGAAAGCCATTGGCTGGCCTTCACAGCAAGGGGTCGTGCTTGCGAACAGGTGGTAAACACTGACGACCAGAAGGTGTTCCAACGAAGATGAATGTTCGAACAGGTCGCCCAGCAAGTAGGGCCTTGCCGGAAGTCCACCGCCGGGTCCGCCTGACACAGTTCCTCGCAATCAAGGCGTCTGTCTGCCGACGTGAGTGCAAACGTTTTGATGACGGCCGGAGAAAAACCAGCCGGTATGGAGATCAGAGTCGGCCTTAATGGGCCCAGGATTTTTGTCAATGGGCGCGGACAAGAAGCGCAAATCATACAGTAATCATAATTGGGGTGTGGATTCCTCCGACAATTGCGCAATGGGGAATATGGCGTGGAATAGGGAGTGCCGAACACCGAGTGCCAAATAGTGGATAGTAAGTGGCCTCAATACCAAATTGGCTCCTCTTACACAACGAGCAGTGGCAGTAACCAAATTAGACAGTACAGTACAGTACAGTACAGTACAGTACAGTCAGTACAGTAAGTATGCAGTGAGCAACCACACAAGTCCACTGAGCGCCCTGCAACTGTTAAAGCTCTAACAACTCTTGCCATCGTGCTTTGCATTGGCACGGAGTAAAACGAAGGCGCTCGGCCACATAACTCCAGCTGGGTCGCAGGCGGAGATTAGACTTGAGGTGAATCAGGAGCTCCTCTGGCCAGGGATGCCATTCATCCCAATTCTCGTCGTCTGTAGCTGGAGGGGGTGGTGCACTGGGGCGATTGCATTCTCCACAATCAAATTGCAGAATTGAAGCCCCTGCAAGCCTCCTGGAAATCAACGTACTTCTCCTTGCACTTTTTGATTCATTTAAGTTCATCTTCTCGCATCGTTGCTTTCTCTGCGGATGAAGGCACATGAGGCGGACTTTCTTCTTTCGAAGACTCCTTTGCCTGAGCTCAAATCTGGTCAGTATGACTCCATGACCCCATCTAATCTATGGTCCATGGTCCAGTCAAGGAGCGGCAACCAAGCCTCAAGCTGTTCATTGGTTGGACTTATTGGGAAGGGACATAGATGCCACCAAGGGAGCAGATGCTCGGGTCAAGCAAGGCAGACGCTACCATATTTGTTGGTTGGACCAGATTATCGGAACGACCTTCACGGAAGCGCAGCAGAGACTTGCAACCCACGAAGCAACGCCAAACTATAGTCCGCGGTGCCCATGAGAGCTTGGTAGAGAGCCGCCGGTACCATGTAGCGGTTAGATGAAATGATGGCTGAATTCCCAAGCATCGCTGCCACCAGCGCACGGGCAGCAGCAAGGGAGATGACAGAGGGCTCCCAGCGACACAGTCGCCAAGAAGGCCATAGCATCCAATGGAGGCATGGGAGCAATGGAGAGGGGGAATGCAGCTCCAATGGCAACAGGAACAACACACAGCTTGGAATTTGCCGCGCAGCACGGCAAACAAGATCTGGGAAGAGCGGCCACGCGAGTAATTTGGCTTTTTGAATCACAGCCCAGAATCCGCTCAGGCAATGGCAAGCAAACATGCCAGTCGCTCTGTTTAAAGTCAGCAGAAATTCCGGCGGAAGCAGAGCCGAACTGAATCCCCGATGAGGTGATCAAAGACGTTGGCGGATACACGGGGCACGGGGTGAGTAGGTAAGGCAATCTCATGAGCCACCATAGGGATTCTTTTCCACAATGCCATCTTGGGCGGTTGCTCCTCCCGTTCGCCCACCGAGGCTGCCCACCACTTCGGCTTTTCCATGGCGGCGCAGAGTTCCAGCAGTGCCACGCAGCCGGTGTAGAGCGCGCCGGCCGCCTCTGCCACGGACGCCACATTGGGCGCCACTGCCTTGCACAGCTTGGCATGCAGCTGCATGCTTGGCTAGCGACAGCGTCGTGTCCCGCTCACAGCCGCAGGAGAGGTTGAATCACTCCAGCGGTTGGCGCAAGGTGGGCTCTGCCAGAACGCCCTGCAGTTCCGGGAGGTCCTTCACCATGCGAGGCGCAAAGAGCGCCGCTGCGTTGACCGACGCACATCCGAGATTGACTCCCATGGATGGACGCTTGAGGAGCTCCGAGCTCTCTGCGTCATCTGCCCCCGCAACTTGTCCAATTGCAGATGTTCCCCGGCTGACGCGCCCTGATTAAAGAGAGGGCGGCCGTTAATTGGCATCTGGGTAGCTGCGCAGCAGCCACTTGATCATGAAGTTGTGCTCGACTTTCTTG